TCAGCATAAGTTACGACTTTGGAATATTGCACCCCGCATTCACAGACAGAGCATGATACAATGCTCAAAAATCCGACATTCATTATAATCTATGGGCCCATTATTCCCTTTCACTTACGCGGCAGCGGGAGATTCATATGTCACTTGAATAACGTTTTCAACCCATTCTTATCGTGCACGATAAATCTTGGATCATTCAAAATCGATTAAAGCACACAAAATTAAAACGCAAGGCATTTCCCTACCCATACTTACTGAGTTCTAGCAGGCCGGAATACGTTCCATCCCTCATATCAATTTCAATTACGCCGGTTGCATTCCTGTATTCTCCACCACACAGCCGAACTCTCCACTACCCTCTCCCGTTCCCCACAAACTTCAGCTCTTCATTACCTCCCAGTCCCCGAGACGCCCAATTTCTTCACTATCCCTTACCTTCAAGACACCCGACCTCTGCACTTCCCCTGCCCCCCCCCCCCCCCTAGACGCCCGACCTCTTTATCATCCTTCTGTTCTGAAACATCCGACCTCTTTACTACCTCTGCTCCCCGAGACGACCGACCTCTGCACTACACCTCTCCTCCGAGACACCCGACCTCTTTACTACCCCTGCCCCCCGAGACGACCGACCTCTGCACTACACCTCTCCTCCGAGACCCCCAACCTCTTCACTACCCCTGCTCCCCGAGACGACCGACCTCTGCACTACACCTCTCCTCCGAGACACCCGACCTCTTCACTACCTCTGCTCCCCGAGACGACCGACCTCTGCACTACACCTCTCCTCCGAGACGCCCAACCTCTTCACTACCCCTGCTCCCCGAGACGGCCGACCTCTGCACTACACCTCTCCTCCGAGACACCCGACCTCTTCACTACCTCTGCTCCCCGAGACGACCGACCTCTGCACTACACCTCTCCTCCGAGACACCCGACCTCTTCACTACCTCTGCTCCCCGAGACGACCAACCTCTGCACTACACCTCCCCTCCGAGACGCCCGACCTCTTTACTACCTCTGCTCCCCGAGACGACCGACCTCTGCACTACACCTCTCCTCCGAGACGCCCAACCTCTTCACTACCTCTGCTCCCCGAGACGACCAACCTCTGCAGTACACCTCCCCTCCGAGACGCCCGACCTCTTTACTACCCCTGCTCCCCGAGACGCCCGACCTTTGCACTACACCTCCCCTCCGAGACGCCCGACCTCTGCACAACCTCTGCTCCCCGAGATGCCCGACCTCTTCACCATCCCCCCCCCCCCCAGACGTCCGAGCTCTGCACTACCCCTGCTCCCCGAGACGCCCGACCTCTGCACTACACCTCTCCCCCGAGACACCCGACCTCTGCACAACCTCTGCTCCCCGAGACGCCCGACCTCTTCACTACCCCTTCTCCTCAAGACGCCTGACCTCTTTGCTACTCCTGCCTCCCCAGACGCCCGACCTCTTTGCTACCCCTCTCCTCCGAGACGCCCGACCTCTCTGCGCGTCGCACCGCTTACTGCCGTGCCCTGGCAGCTGCGCGTGACTCGCCCGGCCCGCTCGAGTGACTCTGCAGCGTCACGGGTCACGCAGAGTCACGCCGCGCCGGGAGCGTCTCGCTCCGCTGGCGACGGCTCGGTTTGCGTCGCATCAAACGGTCCGAGAACCCCGCGCCAAACAGTCGCTGGGACCTGCCCGGGACGGTCCTGCGTGGATTTCCAGAATTATAGTGCTTTTGGGCCACTACCGGGTGGTTTTTAATCGGGTTTTGAGCCTGCTTCGGCAGCTGGCCATCTACTCACCATCAAGGGCCAGGAAGCTCTCCAGCGTGGTCCCTAGTGCTCGACATTGCCCGGTCCGGCAGTCACCGCCCGCCAGTCTGGTGTCGGCCGCCTGCTGCCCCAGTGCTCAACACCTGCTGCCCCAGTGGTCGCCGCCGCCTGCCGGCTCTCCCGGCCGCCGCGTGCGGTCCAGCGGCTGCGGTCGGCCCGCGCAGTGCGGTGGGGACCGCGCGCGTCGCTCCCCCCAGTGTGCTTCGGGATGGCGCGGTGTTGGGCAGTGGCGCTGGTCGCGGCCGGGCTCTGCCGCCTCGTGGCGGGCTCTGAGACGCACCGGAGGACCGGCGGCGTGAGCGGTGTCTCGGAGATCGGGGCGCTGTCAGGGGAGCGGGGTTACCTTGCCGAGTTCGACGCGCAAGGGCCTCTGTCTCCGCCGGAAGAGCACCGCCGGGAGATCGTGAGAGACGCAGAAGAGGTCATCAAGGCGGACCGCCGTCGTAAAACCAGCACGGGTCCTGCAAAGGCTGGTGGGACAGAGCACCGTCAAAGCAACGCCACCGGGCCACGCCACATACCGGAAATCCACGGGGGCCCCGCCCAGATCGGCAGGGCGGACGACCAACCGTCTGCCAGCCGGCACGCTGACAGCACAGATCCTGCTGAAATCGGCCGAACGGACCACCTACGGGAGATTGAGACTCAGGTGCAGCTGGTGAAAACCAAGCTATCTGAGAAACTGCAGGGCGAAATGAGGTACGTGGGTCGTCTGCTTGGCATTTCGGATGTCGGTGAGATCGTTACAAGACAAGGCTTTACCCTGCCGAAGGTACGCTCCCTGCATAGAGAAGGGGACCGTCAATTTGATTGATGGGTACACATGCACGACAGTTTCGAATCGCACTAATCGTGGGGTATTACTACCTCGCGAGATGGCTTAAGGTCCTTTTTAGTGTGATAAGTCAAATATGTCAAAGGTCTGATATTACGTTTTAACATAACGTGATTTAGGCACGCTACCATAATCTCCAGTCTTGGCATGGCAGAACAGTTTATGTCGTAGAGCTCAATAGGGAAGCCAAAAGAGCCGTGAAGACTAGCTGATCTCACCCAAACTAGAATAACTGTTTTATTAGCTGCTACAAGTTTGCGACAGAAGTCGCATGAAGGCAAGTGACACGCTCTTCTGACGGCAAAATTCTTGCTGTGCGAGACGATAGGGTATGCGCTCAAGCGACACCGAACGTTCCCAGGAAAAAGCTTCGAATACAACGCCGTAGACTTGGTAAGTCACCTCGCGACCGCTCACCCCGCTGAGCTCGTGATTCCGGAGCTTGAAAACTCGCATAACCTCACACAATCCACGTCAGCTCGCTTGGGCGCCAGCCATCCCGGCCGCTTCAGCGGGCTCGCCACCCTCGACAGGTCGTCCTCCGGCAGCGGCTCGCTGGTGACGCTGGCTGTGCTGGCGCTCGGCGTGCTGCTCTTCGACGCCATCAACGACGCGCTCGCCGGCGGCGGCGGCGGCGGCGGCGGCGCCGGCGGCGGACGCAGCGCCGGCGAACGCAGCCGCTGGGACCGCGTGCTGGGGCCCGGCGGCTGGGACCGCATGCTGGAGAAGGACCGCTGGTACCAGCTGCTGGGACCGAGAGGCTTGGACCAGCTGTTGGGGATGACGTCTTCCGAGTCGGAGACGCGGGAGGTGGTGCTGCCCGGCCCGGGTCTCATCGGCGACTACATCAACAGCCTGCTGGAGATTGGCCTCAACATGATCACCGTCTGGCTGTACGGGTGAGTGCAAAGGGCACCTGCTGGACAGAGGCTGCCGGTGTTCCCTGGTGATGAAGATACGATCGAGCGTAGCAGAATTCTGGTCCTGGCGAGTGCAAGCTCCGAAAAGATTCGTGCACGTCACCTCTTAAATGACAACATGATTGCACGCTCTAGCGATAGAAATACTTTTCTTGCACGTCCAGAAAATAGACCGCAGTTCTCTTCGGAGTACAAACGTTTAACGACGCACGGCACCGGTTTACTCTGCTGCCAGCAATGCGCTAAGTCCCTGATAGTGAGTGGCCACCCAGCGCGACGACCACGTAACACTTGTTCGGTGCCTGGCCTCAGGGAGGCTGACACCGAGTGCGGCCGGCGGCTTCTCTGCGAGTTCAACCAGCGCGCGAGCCGCCAGTCATCGCTGCACTCGGCGCTGACGTACGGCGGTGGCCTGCTGCTGTCCCTGCTGCTGCCGGAAGCGTCCGCCTCTGAGAACCTGCTGGCTATGCGCCAGGGACGACGCGGCGCCGACTGCCTCTCCACCTTCGCCAGGTGTCAGGTCACACTGTGATGGCGCCTGCTGCAGCAACGGCTCCAGCAGGTGTCAGATCACAGCAGGACGGCACAGTCACTGTAAGACTGTAAGGCAGTCTACCCAGTGTCGGGCCAAACAGTGACGGCGCTGGGTGTCCTGCGGGCGGAACAAAGAGGAGGCTGCTGCGAGCAACCGAACCTGTGATAAAGCTCACCACGGAACCATGGCGCAATCCGTGCACCGGGATAGGACCCGGGTGAACGACAGCACAGCGGTCCGATCACGACGAGCTTAACAAGCTGACCTCAAGAAGGAAGAGCAGCGCGAACTTCCGAGACGATGAAACAGAGAAGACGTGCGCGTGGTAAAAGTCAGTCTTTGTTTGTTTCGTGTATATTTTGATGTCAGAAGCATGCAGAACTGGTCGGTCTCTCCGGTTGGTCGTTGCCTACAGCGAATAAAACGACCCACTCTTGTCTCTCGACTTAGACGCCGCGCATCAAATGAGGTTCGTGGTCCAGGGAGGGCTTTCCGTAACAGCTGATGCGCCAATGGGTTTGGACTGTCTGCCCTGACTACGCTGTTTAGAGCTCGCAACATCACTGCGCTGAACAGGCGTCCCACTCACAAACGCGCTGACATTTTTACGACCCATCAACGACCTCACCATTCGGATTGACGACTTAAGTGAGCCATTCCCACCTGGGCATCGGTGCCCATGTTCAGCTCTATATGTGAGGACAGCAAATAGCGGCTGACTTTGCCGCACCGTCGACTCCAGCGGCCATGCACCGTCGCCGACATGACGTCAGCGAGGCCGCCGTCAGTCCCGGGGTCAGCCCAGCTGCCGGTGGGTCGGCTGGACTCGTAAACCGCACCGTGCTCGCTGCCGGCTAGGAGTGGTCCACCGACAAAAGCTCACAAATACCAAGTTCAGCTATATTGGATAGTTTATTCTAGTATGCAATGCTTCACAAGGCAAACTCGCAGGCCACGTCGATCACAGAAGCGGTTGGACCACAGGTCTTGGTCACAGAAAATGTGTGCAAACCATACCAGAAGCAGCACCGCAAGACAACACAGCAGGACGTAACGAAATCGCACCGGCGATTCATTTGCACGTATCTTAGCTTGTACGGGTCGCGTCATCGACTCGACATTAAGAGGCAGACGGTGATAAAGACAATTGCCATTATTTAGAACTAGCAACGACTCGTTCTCTACAAAGTACGTTTTAAGTCTAAAGATCAGGAGAATAATGGATAATCCATCTATAGCACTTGCAAACGTTGACTGGCTTCCACCCTCCGCTGGATAGAAAAGGAAGCAGTCCGAAAACGGGATTCGATGCACCTTGCGCACTAGTCTCTCGCTCCCCGCCAACCCTGAACTAGGCAAACAAGCAAACGGCGCCACGCGTGCTCCAAAACACACCGCCGGCATCTTGCGGTAGCTGCAGTGCACGACACTCCCAGTAGATGGCAGCTCTAGTGCCGGGGTGCCGGCGGAACGCCCGGCTGCAGGCCGACCAGACCCTGCGCGGTGTTCAGTAGGCTGATGGGCGTGCGACCGTCGGTAATAAGCGTCGACTGCAGGCCCAGGCTCTGCAGCATCTTCACCTGCTGATCGCCGCCAGCCGTGGCCATGGCCTGCAGGGTTTCCGTGCCCATCGCCTGCACCATCTGACGGAACTTCTCGATCTCGATGCCGGCCATGTCCTTGGAGCGCGCGATCTCCAGCTGGTTGCTCTCCTCGGTGTACTTGAGCTCGGCCTCGCGCGCTGCGCGCAGCCGCTCCAGCTCGGACTCGGCCTCGATGGTGGCGGCGCGCGCCTTCAGACTCGCCTGGTCCACGGCCGCCTCGCCCTCGATGCGTGCCGCCTCGGCGCGGCTCTGCGCCTCGGCCTTGGCCTGGCCGGTGCTCTCTATGGCGGCGCACGCCGTCTGCAGCTCGACCAGCTCCTTGCGCGCCAGCTCGGCGGCCGCCTCGTCCTTGATCTTCTGGCGCTCGAGGCGGCCGCGCGCCTCCTGTTCGGTGCGCTCCGCCTCGTGCTTGGCGGCCGCCTCCTGCGCGTTGGTCGTGATCTCGATGGCCAGCTGCACCGACTTCTGCAGCGAGTCCCGTGTGCGCTGGTCCACCGGTTCCACGCTCTGGATGTCGATTGACGTCACCACCAGACTGTTCTGCGGAAAGACGAAACGGTCGCGCACCTTGCCCGCCTCGTCCGTGCCGAACACCGACTGCCGAATGATCTTGGCCGAGTTCTTGTGGAAGTCGTCGAACGGCCGCTGTGCCACGGCGCCGCGCACGCGTGAGGCAATCGCCTTGCATGCGTCGCCGACGAAGTCCGGCACGCTGAAGATCTTGCAGGCGTCCTCAGCCGTCTTGTTGCCTACGTCGAAGTGCCAGTTGTAGGCGATCTGCAGCGAGAGACGCGCGTGGTCGGACGTCTCGACGGTCACGATGTCGGTGCAGAAGTCAGGCCCCAGCAGCAGCGAGAGCGCGCGGATCGTGTTCGGCTTCTTCGGCTTGCCGCCAGAGAGCGAGAGCTGTGTGAACTCCTCGTCCGGCTCGAGCATCACCAGGTCGGGGCCGAAGACCACACGCGACCGCTTCTGCTTGTAGTCATACACCTGCACGGCCGCGTTGTGTGGCACGCGGTAGGTTACGACACGCGTCTTGTCCATGTGCGCCGCCTGGCTCGCCTGGCCGCGCGCCTCGCGCAGCTGCGAGTAGGCGCCGCGGTCGGCGAGCGCGTCCGCCTTGAGCAGCTCGGTGACGCTGGTCGGCAGCTCCTTGCTCCAGAGCTCCTCGTCCTGCGTCAGCATGTAGGTTTGGCCGCAGACGGCACGCACCTCGCCCGTGCGGTTGTTGCGCACGTAGATGCCCTCGGTGCGGTCGAGCGGGATCGCCGACTGCTGCAGCACCACCTCCACCTCGATGGGCGGCACGAACTCCACGGGGCCGTGCACCATCCAGCGGTCGCCGGGCCGACGCGCCACCGGCGGGCTCACCGTGTCGTCAGTGAAGCCCTCGCTGGCCCGCAGCACCAGCGCCTCGTCCTCCTGCAGGATGTAGTTGTCGTTGATGCCGTCTTCCAGCGACTCACCTGGCTCGAGGAAGAACGACTTCTCGCCCTTGATCAGCTTGCGCTGGCCGAGCTGAGGCTTGCCGTTGGGTCCGACCGGGTCGCACACGACGCAGTACTGGCGGCTCGTCAGCGTCGTTATCTCCAGCTCTTCCTCCACCTCCTCGTACACATCCGGGATGAACGCCTCCATGTCAGAGAAGCGCACCAGCCACTGCTCGCCATTCTTGCGCCGCACGCCGCGCTGGTCGGTGAACGTGCGCGTGGCACGCACCAGCAGCGCCGTCTTCTCCGTCAGCACGCGTGCGTTGACCAGCTCCACCACCTCCTCGTACTCGCCGGGCAGGTAGGCGCCCACCTGCGAGACGATCCATTCTTCGCCGGCCACGCGCTTCACGCCTTTGCGGTCGACCGTCTCCAGTCGCGCGCGGAGCCGCAGCGCCTGGTTAGGCCCGATGATCGTGGCGCTGATCTCCGACAAGATCTCTACCTCGGGGCGCGGCACGTACGTGCCGGGCCCGAACAGCCACTCGTCGCCGGCCTCGCGCGCCTCCTCGCCCTCTTTGAAGTCGCGCAACGCGCGCAGGTGCAGCGCCCGGTTGGCGGGCACCACCTTGAGCGGCAACACGGCCGAGGCCAGCCGCTCGCCCGGGTACAGCGGAAATGGGTCCTGGAAGAGGCGCACCTCGGTGTCGGCGTGCAGCAGGCGCGCCTGGCCGCTAGCGTCGAATACCACGCGCCCCTCCTCGCGCGCCACCGGGTTCTCGACGATGCAGTAGTGGCGTGGCGGTACCACCACCATCGCGCTCGGTCCGACGATAACCCTACCAACGAGCGAGCGAGGTCAGTGAGCGGCACGGGGCTGGACCCGACGCTGGAAACCGCCCGACGGTGGAGACGGCGGACAGGCCGCCAGGATCGGCAAACATCGATATTGGTAAAAGTTATGCCCGATGGACTTACGGTTTCATGTAATGACCGGAACTAGTGATCTTGTCACGAAGGTTAATCGAAGGATATTCTTGTTACAAAAGGTAAAATCAATCTCATTATTGGTGCGGACGCCTAGCGGGTCTTGATCAGTGCTACTTCATCCAACATGATCCGGCTCTGACAGCCAAGACGCTTGCGTCTCCTCTGCGTCTAGAAGCTCACCTTTCATTGTCCTTCCTGATAAAGGTCTGGGGGCCGACCTCTACCCGGGTGACGTTGCTGGTTTGGTCAAGAACATGCACATAGTAGTGCGGCTGGATTCTGTACAGACTCTCCGAATTGCTCGAACCGTCCTTCTTACTCATCTTGCACGCTGTGGGTGGAACAGGTAAGGTCACCTTTGATAAGTAGTCGTCACCTTTGTCACCTTTGATAGATAGTCGTTTTGATTCGTTCTTAAATAATTCATTCATTCATTCATGAATTATCTAATTAATATGCCAATTCATTCATTCATTCATTCATGTTTTCGTCCCTGCATTGCGCGCATGTATTGTATTGCATTTGTGTCGATATCAAACAAAGTATGGCTTCTCTTGTCGTCAGACCCTTCTTTCTGACGTTCTTCAAGCGTACTTTCCATGCTGTTGTTTGATCTGACTGTACTTGAAACGCTAGCCGTCGTGAAGACTGTCGCGTCCTTTCAAGCTTGGCCAAAATCGAAGCACGAATTACAATTTTCGCCGTGAGCCGTAACGCAAAATTTCTACTTGACATGAGCGGACCTGGATGAGATGAAGCATGGTCTGACGCCGCACACCAAGGCTCCCACTCCTCGGCGCACGACCACGGGATGATCTGCCTCGCAGGACAGTGCTGCCGTGGTCCGGCAGTCGCTACCTTAGGGTCAACGCAGCGTTAGCCTTCGTCTCGGTTAAGTTCGAAAGACTGCATTACAGTCAGAGGAGAAAATTTGTGGTGTCCTATGTTTTTCCTGAATTCGCTCAAAATTTGTGACAGGCTCTTCTGTGGTTAAATTCTAAATCCAACAGAATCAGGACACAACCCCAATTGTTGTCTCTACAATAATCCACCGTGACGAGCCCTTCAATGCAGATAGTAGCTGACGGTATCAATCGAACTGGCTTCAAACGCATCAAACAATGCTACAGTGCAGCGCTATGTCGGATAGTGCTACATACGCTCAACGCTTTTCCATCGGGTTAATTTCCCCACATACTATGTCACCCAACGTCGTGATGGCATCGTTTTGCCGTAATAATTTCACTCCTCCCATCACTATCAAGCCCAGGCCAACACATAGCCAGTCAGCGTTCGCTTCCGAGAGAAGAGCCCGTAGAGGCGCATGCTGGCCCTGGCAGTGCAGCGAAAGAACCCACCCGCCTGGCTGGCTTATCAAGCGTTTGGCTGGACAAACCAGTCACGAGCTGTAACATCGACCGTGTACATAGTCCACCAACAACGAGCAAACATTGGCACAGCCTGGACCGAGACCAGGCGTGGCAAATTGCCAAAAACCTCACTTCGAACGTGCTGCGGTAAGGACCGGGCAAGCGGGCAACTGTCAGCGAGCGTTATGTTTCTGTAATCGCAATGAATCGCAAAGCCCCTTGACGGCTTGACTATGATCTTCGGGGCCTACTTGACAGCTCCTTGCTTAACAGACTATAATCACCATCGTCCACCACACTTATTTTAGGCCGGCGCCCGCCGGCTGCGGGTCGAGAGAGGGTGGGAGGGAGGAGAGAGGGGGAGCCGTCTGGCATCCAGCCTGGCGCCGGCGCCTAACCATTTTGGGCGGACTGCAGAACCGGACGTCGTTTGCAGAAGCGCTGGGCAGCGAAGACGTGATACATGACGCGTGACGACTCCGCGTGGTCGCTATATGGGTCCTCCGAGGTACTCGGCAACAGTCCGGGCCGACGAGCACGGGCTCACGCGAGGGCGCGGTGTGAGGCCCTGGGAGTTCGTGGGGCTGCGATTGGTACACCCTCTGACCTCAAATCTGACATAGATAAATGCATGAAGTCATGAATATTTTGCAGTAACCAGGCCGCTTTCCGTCCATTCTGAACTCCTTTGTCCACTGTGCAATCGCACGACGCCTGGCACCCGACCCACATCTCTCGCGAGGATCCCCGACCGCCACCACTCGGCGCCGGCGACCAGGCGACAGTCAGCCTCCCACTGCTCCCTTCTGAACACACAAGCCCGACACCGCGCCGGTCCACCGCCGACAACGCTGGCCAATGTACCGGCCGTCCCTCACGGCACTGGTCGACAGCAATGAATGCGGCAACACGGCGACCATGTAACATGAATAGCGCTTGCCGAAACACCATCGGTCTCGCCTGCGTGGGACGGGTGTCGATGACATCACAGCGCGGCACGCTACAAAACACCCTCTGGTACCAAGACGCTGTAATTTCCGGCATCATGTCTCCTGCTGCAGCGGGAAAACTGATGACATGACTCAAGCCAGATGCGATCAGCAGATTTCGCGACAAGGGTGTCCAGTCTCGGGGCTACCTTCCACTGCCCAACCGCAGCCTGTCCTCTGAACGTCTAAAGAGATCTCACCGGGAGTCCCCAGGTCGTCTGGAAAGGCCAACAGGCGGTGCTATTTCATTTCGGCTCCGAACAGCCTGCCAGGTAATGCACTCCGCCTCCATGGCGCAGAGCTGCTTCGCGACCGGGACGAGCAGCGGTGCTGCCGCAGTTTTGCATGGGAATGCGGTTAGTTTCCGGCAATGTGGAACATTCTGCTGCGCTCATAATTATTGAAATAGGGTGATCCTCAGCCAAATGACAGGGCCAGGGTGCCACGATAATGCCAGCCAACGCTCAGCATGGCGCGCCCGTGACGACCTCGGTGACGCCGGCATTTTCCCTCCTCATTCCTTGTGTTCCTAGCGACCGCCGAGGCACCGAGACTGGCAGGGGCGTCACTAGTGGAAGGAGGGGGGGGGGGGGGTCTTTTACCTCCTTACCACCGATGAAACTTTCCGTTGCCCAGTGGTATCAGTGGCAACACTTTTGTTTTAATTGCTACGCACACAAGAATCAACAGTTTCGCCGCCCCCTGAGCACAAGTCTGCGTTTGCCGCCTCCTCCAAGCGATCGCCAGCCCTCCCTAGCACCCCACCACGGAGACGCCCATGGTAGCTAGCCAAGTCCTTTATCGAGCGTCAGTCACCGCATTATCCATGTCCAACGGCACCAGGTGACCACCCCGCGCACGTTCTGTGTACGTGGGCCAGCTCCGTCGATGCCGGCGAGGCGGGCTGTCGTGCGGGCATGACGCTCTATCGGCGGATCGCGGCCGGCGCGGGCCGTGTTTGTTTGGCGTGGTGGTGCCATGGCGACTCCGTGTATCCTGGGGAACGTGCCACACGTACACTGCATGCCTGATCGGCCCGGTGCTCCGTCGTACCGAGCCGGGGCACATGGACCACTTGCTTGGGTGCATGTTTCTGTGTGTTTGAAGGGAACCCCCCAATAAGTCGGGTCTTTAATGCGGCTCCAATGGTGCCTTGAGGAGACATTGACCCAGTCCCTCAACTTACCCCCCCCCCCCCCCATCTTCCAATGATTTTCAAAGTCATCTCTCTCACAAGCCTCCGATTGGATGCACACGGGTCCCGGCCACCCTGTCCTGCAAAACTCTTCAACTACAAAAATAATGTTTCGACACCATCCCACAAAACCAAGATGTTGGTGTTTTAACACCACATGACGTGCTACTGGTGATATGCTACTGGTGTCGTGATGCATTGGTGTCGTGATACATTGGTGTCGTGATGCATCACATCATCGCAGCGATTAGCGCTGCAAGCAGCCGCGCTTACCGTCCAGCCAGGAAGCTCTAAGGTAATTCGCTCTCAGGGTAATCAGGTGGTCGCCGCGAACGTCACACCGCCTTCCCGCCCAGTCTCAGGCTCGGCCCCGCCCGGCTCCAGGCTGGGAGCCCGGTCCTCGCTTAGTGCTGGTGCATGCCCCCGTCCCCCCGCCCGCGGGAGGGTGAGGATGGCGCGTCGGCGGCCCACCCGCGACCGTGAGGCCGCACTTCCAGCCGGGATCACCGAGCCCGCACCGGCCCGCCAAAGTCGCGCCGAGACGAGCTCTGTTTATCGGCGGCGAACGGGAGCGTTAACAGAGTGCGGCGCAGCGTCAACCGGCGCCGGTCGAGCGTGCGGGGCTACAGAGATGTGCTCGGAACTCTACACGGACCATGGTCGGCGGCGGGTCTGCGAACGCTTGTCATGGCGATGAGCTGGCGTTCTCCACTCAGCCCTCTCGCGCCCGGGACCACCAGCGAGGTCGTCTCAAGGGCGTCGTGGACTGCGGCTGGCGGACCTGCAACGCGGCACGTCCGGCGCTTTGCGGAGCTTCGTTCCCATGTGGCGATGGTGGTGTGTGGACACGAACCACATCTGGACTACTCCCTCATAAACCTGCCTCAACGCCCCACCGGGGTATGACCTCACTGGCGGCTTATTGGGCAGGTTTAGTGGCGCACAAAACGTATCAGGCAGTGCACCAAAGGGCCGGTACACCTAGCCTGTAGCCACATGTTTTTAGCCACGCAACAGCGCCGGTCTTCTTTAAAGTAGCAAATTCCAAGAGGGCGGGCGGAGAGTGGAAGCATGAACGGCGAGACGTCTGACCGCTAGCGACCACACGAACACGAAGATACCGAGGGTGGGAGGGCGACGGCGTCCATGCCAGACCTCACTCCCAATCCCACCGGCGGCGGCGACCAACTCACCTGAAACCGGCCACTCCGTCCAGCCCCACCGCACGCCGCCCTCTACCAACCGCCTCTGCACCCCAGCCGACGACGCCTGGCGCCAGTTCACGTCGCGTGCGCCGCGAAACGTGGCGCAACCGGCGCCGGTCAGCTGGCGTGCGGCTCGACGGCTGACTCAGCGTCCCGCCCGGCGACTGCCGCACGCCGCCGGCGCCGTTCGGCTGGCTCGGGGAAGCCCCGCGTTCCAGCTCCGGAGCGCTGAGAGCGCTCGCCACGCTCGCACACGTGACGTCATAGGCGATTTCGTGTGCTGTCGAGACGACTGATAGCGAGCCGATCCATCAGAACTATCAGCAGACGACTGATCAAACAAACAGCGAGGAGGCCAGGCGACCATTGATAGTCAGCCAGGCGAGTCGTGCGCTGCTCATTCCGGGATACAGGCATAGCTGATTGTCGTCCGGGGCCAACAGCCAGCCAGCCAGTCGGTTAAGAAGGTTATCAACAATGCAGTCGTTTCTCACGAGGTTGGAATTCCCCGCCCTCGGAAATCAACGAACTGGCTTCATGGTATGTCAGCGAACGACCTGCCATTGGTGCTCTTACCCAGCAGTGGTCCGCGAAGAAGCAGCACTTGTATTTCTATTGGTATTTTGGAGCGTGGCGGCCGCTACGGCGTGCACCTATGCATAGCAGGACTAGAGACCGTGCCCAAAGCCTGACCATTGGGCCATCACTGACAGCGCACACAAGCACGGCACGTGCGTATATACGCTGGCGTCCAGGGATGCCCAGGCGTTCGCGATAGACGACGTGCTTGACTGGCTTACATTTTGCCAATATTCCTCAAGGTACATGGCGAGGGGAATAGGAACAGACCCGGAAGTGCGCTTGGATCCTCAGCCGGGTTCAACGTTCGCGGCAGGTGGTGCAACGCGCCCATTGCGCCACGTCGAGCCAGCTGGACGTTTGAATTCCATGCCGCGTGGCTGGATGGGTGCCATATTACGCAAAAGTAACGACCCAAAGGCATCCGACGACTTTGCAGAGTGAGCACATGGTTATCAGGTCAGCCCCGACATCCACGCGGTCTCCCTACCAATTGTGAGTACCACCGCTGGCCAATGGGAGACGAATCAAGAGCAGGTACGAACGAGCCGCAGCCTGCCACATTAAACGCATTATCTCCAAGGCGATATGTCCATGTTCGTTCGCTTGTGCTATCAGCGTGCTAGCAGCTACGATTGAAAGAGAGCGGAATTTATCAACCCGTCGCTTTGATCGAATAGTAAACAACGTGTGGATTTCCTCTGAAACCGCATGAACGAAACAAAACCAAGCTAAATGCATGTAATACAGTGCATTTAACCAAAGACCGACTGCTCACACCGAATGACAGCAGACTATTAATCCACACCAGATATTTGCATCCTGTTCACTGCTCAGAGTTTGCATCTGGACCAGACAACCCCAGTCGTCAGATGACCCAAGCCTCCACACGTGACAGCCGCGAACAGGTCGGTGCGTGCACTACCTTCAGCCGCGGCACACGTTGGCCAAGAGCCAAAGGGGCGGCGCGGCACCACTGGACCTGGCAGAGCGGGCCATACATGGCACTTATCGGGGGGACACCGCAGGCACATCAGGGAGGGGAGAGGTGGGGGACAAACTCCAGGCAGGAGGCCCGGCCGGTCCCGCCGCGGGACCCCCGGGCCCGGCGATTACCCGGCTGCTGGCAGTCCCTCGGCGATCCGGACCGGGAGCGAGAGCGCGAGCCGGACGGTGAGCGAGAGCGCGATCTGGACCGAGACCGAGAGCGGACGCGCTCCGCACAACGGCGCCGCTTGTGCATGGCGCGTCGGCACTGGACGCCGTGCAGACACGCCCCGGCGGCGGCGGCGGCGGCAGCGGCGGCGCCACGAGCGCACCCAGTCGAGCGCGGGGGAACTCACCGCGGGCCGGGCTCGGCGCGGGGCAGCAAGCTTCGTCCCGAGAGGGTTTGCTCCGCTCGTGCTCCTCAGGCGAATGCGGCTCGGTGGCTCCGGCCGGTGCGGTGGGCGGTACAGGCTCTCCCTCGGTATCAGGCCCCGCCGGGCGGCGCGACCTACGTCACCGGCGGCCTTGAAGGCGTGTTTCCGCGGTCGGCCGCCTGGCGGCGCTAGAGGCTATCCGGATCGATGCCCGGCTGCAAGCCGGAGCAGCCTATCTGCACGGCAGACATACGGCAGGTAGATCGGTTTGCCACCAACGGAAGTTGGTCGCCGGCGAGACGGCTGGCGCCAGCCTCCTGCGAGGAGATGAGGCAGACCGTGGGCTGCAGAGGACAGCCCGTTCGATTGCTGAACTGGCTATTATTCCGGCGGCGACAGCCCCGCTGCGCACGATCTGCGCCGTCTCGCTCAGTACTGACGCCGTCTCCTTTCCCTTCGTCCTTTTCTGTCACTTCCTCCAGCGGGTGAGAGCACGAAAGAACAGGTCGTGTTCTTGTGCACGACTCCTGGTCATTAGTTCTCCATTCCCGCGGTCCTAGCCTTCGAACCCCTGTTCATGGCCTTAAGTCCCCGGAAACACCAAATAATTCCTTCTGCTGGGTGAATACCCGGATGCAGGGTGCCACCAGTGCACCTTTCAGCACACCCGTCTGGAGCCGGCAGCCGTGTCTCGGCATGCAGCGACATGTTGTGCTGCCGGCCAACTGTACTGCAGTCGCACACTAAACCATCGGCCATATTTGACTGATTCCCCTCGTACGGGCGTTCACCTGTTTCCGGGGAGCCTGCCGACATCGCTGAGCGACAGCGGAGACCGAGCGTGCCGAGAATCCGACGCTGCGGCTCACATGGGCCGTCTGCAGAAGCAGGCTCGCCCGGCGTACCCCTCCGTCGAGCCCGCTATCGTCGCTAACCGACCGTGCAGTCCCTGCCACGGCAGAGGCGGCGGCAGGCACCCTAAGTGAGGGGGCGCCAACATACCGGAGCCCTCGCGCACTTACGGTGCATAAATGCACACTTTAACCCTCTATCAATACATCCGGCATGCAGAGGTGCGCATCTCCGGCACTGTAAGTACTTCGGCTACACTAAACCCATTCACAGGCCGCTCCCATCCACACCATGTCGAATTTCAGGGCCACTCGCACTTGCACTTGGGGTGCCTCTCGATCGGTGAACCCACTTCCCATGGACACACGTGATCCATGGAGTGCACCTCGGCACTTAATCAGTGCCCACTCCGCTTCTCTTGGCATCGTTTGAGCAGCACTGAGTCGATGCCTAGTACCAACACGTATCAGCTTTGACCATCACCTGATTCCGTTCAAAACTTATCGCATATCGCAACACGTTGACTTGACTCAGCAAATAAAAAACAATGATTTCGGGCTTTGTACCTACCGTTTTTTCTCATTTGTGAGTCTAAAGTCAGCGTGTTTTGTATACAATGCCGACACGCTGACGGTCCGTACAAACCCCAGGCATCGTTAGCAGCGTGTATTGGAACGAAAGGCGTGCACATCAGTAAACGAACGAACCACAGTCCGTCCAGACACAACCAGGGCACCTCCGCCGACCTAAAACCCACTGGCGGGGCGATACCGGGGCAGAAAACCCCGTCGGAGTGTCCCCCTCACGGACCCTCAGCACCAGCCGCGAGCGCAGAGAGCACGAAATGCAAAAGAAAGGGGGATACAAAATGAGGAGAAACGGAGCAAAATTAAGCGGAAAGCCATTTGCAGATTCTACATTTGACTAACAACTAAAAGCGGCGAGATCTGAGTTCGATCTGTTCGTTACACGCCTCCGCAGTCACGCCCGATTATCACAAAGGTGCTTGTACTGCCACTCAAAACATGGTGCGGTCATCAAGACACAATCAACACCCAGAGACAGACATACAAAAAAGACTCCAAAGAGTGCAGACTTCAAGAAAGCAGGCTAACTGCGCGCTGTTGGAGAAATTGACAAGCAGGTATATATTAAGTTTCACCTTTACAACTTACCATCACGTCATGACTGGCGGCGCTGTGGCTTTTATTGGTTACTGCTTGATTTGCATAAGGCACTTAAAACACTGAAAACGAATTGGCCACATTCAACAATCTTATCCCTTCTTTAATGATGGGACAGAGTTTATTTTGGAAAACGTGCACATAATGCGAAAACGACTATGCTCGTCACGTAATCTGCATGGTCCGTCCCATAATGTAAACTTGTTTGAACTCTCCGCACTTTGTACTAGGGCCAATGCGTATGACTATCTTCACAACTCCAAACCCATGACGTTTCAAAAGTGTACATCTCCCGCAGCAGACACCTGGGTGACCGTGGTATGAGGTTAGTCCCCGGGAATATGGTGCAAATACGACTACACTACCAGCAGACTTCACCACATCCAAAAGACTCATCAACAACGTCAGCAAAGCAAAAACTGCGTATCAAAATGCGAGCATCTTGCGGTAAATTAAACACGACGTGCACCATTACAGGAAGACGTGCCAATGGACGGGAGCCAGCTGCGGCTTTCCAGCGGCTTTCGGTGGAACACAGTCCGAAAATATATCAACGCCACACATTCGCGACTAAGCACATGCATCTAGTGCACGTTCTAGATAGCGACACGATACGACCCGGTTCACGTACATTATGCCCAGGGTTACCACGCCACGTCTGTTCCAATGGACTTCTTAGGGAGGATGAGGCCAGGCTCGGCGAGTCTCGACACGTTACCAGTTTGGTCCCAACTTAACAATTGTCATTACAATGAATACGCATTATATTGTTGCCCTACACTGACATATCCCGGGGTATTTAGCAATACCATATTAGCAATGATCAATATCCTTAACAAGGCGCACGAGTATACACGTATGTCGATACGCTCAGGGTCTCGGGTAACACGATACTCTCATGGCAATAGTGCTGGCAAAATACCAGAGAGCCTGCAGCTCATTATTGGTAAGCAAGTGGTAAGTGATCGGCATGTCGGACGAGTGCAAAATGCACATCTGGAGAGCAACAGCTGCAGTACTTACATCTCTACGGCATTAAACGGGAGGTGGCAAAGTCCGAGCTTTAACCAGTAGAAAGTCTTCCCCAACGGTTGCATACGCCTTGGTTTCAAATTGTCCTGTATATGACAGTCCACCATAAATAAGTCGGGTGGGCTTCCACATCCATGGCATCCCGGCAACATATGTACAGGCATACGAGGATTATGGTATGGAACGAAATGTGATTACGATGACCTCGCTTAAGGGATCGGACACAAGGCAGCCAATTTAAGTGACATAAGCAGGAAGTTACGGGTTGTTCTTCTCAATCGCACGGGACCTTTCCCTCTATCCGCCGTCCGCACCTGACGCTGCGATATTGTTCTCCTTCGGCATCAGCATGCGCCCGATGGCCGGGGAAAACGCTGCAATGGTCTTTGTTACGGTCATGCTAACCATAACGGTACAACAGCCACAACCTCGTGAGCGTAAAAACGAAACAGCAGCACCATTTGCCTTTATCTTCAGTGATAGGAGTCCATTAGTCAATTTTGAAACCAAAATATTTGCTTCATTCTAAAAACCAAGCTGGAAATATGTTGGCTACGCGCAATCTCTGCAAAAGCCATTGTGCCATGCATTTCACCCCTGGGCTTTTCACGTGATCATCTGATTAACCTGTAAGATTGGAATCTTACAGAATTAAATAAATCTTTTAGAATCAAACCTAAATTTACCTATACGATTTTATAAATTGACCAATGACTAGTGATCAAACAAAAAATGATGAGACGATCAAATGATCATGCAGAAGTGCACAGCGCAAAAAAGCATGAAGTCAGTTAATCGACTGCATCATGCTGTTTATTCAGGGGGAATTTCAGAGAATTGCATCATACGTCCTTATAAAATAGTCTATGCGTTCGTGGCCAAGTTAAAGTAACTTCCATTTCATAAATCAACTTTTTGTTTCGGATATAATGACGAATCTAACAAGGATCTTAGGGGTCTTAAAACAAAGCTACTGTAAATGATAGAACCAGCATTCCAAAATGCACCAAATATAGCACCCAGGAGTAAATATAAATTCATGCTGTCAGAATCCTGGTTCCCGGCGGCCCACGCACGCAATTTGTTGGCGCTAACATGCTGCCCCTGTAACTCGAACCGAGACATCCAACCCGCCCCACCCCGTGTCAATCCCAGGGCGCTTGGATGTTGGGTTGACCATCACTCTGCTCGATGCTGATTGGCCGATTTTGAGCAAGGAAAGGGGCGACAGGCAGTGAACCCCCCAAGCCGGGGGTGTAATAGCATGACGAAATATTGACATCCTTACTAAAAAAATAACCAAACATTGAAACAATGGTCAAATAAACATCGTTGAATAAATTAAGAATGCAATAACATGAACGCAAATGACGTTTTAACCGCATCCTAGACATGAAGGACAGCCATGTTCCAGTAAGACGCCAGGCTATGCAAAGATAACCTGCAGAAAGATAACGCTTTCATGAGTCGATTCTTCACGAGCGCATTTCGTGTGACGACTTTGGGCAGCTACCCTGTACTTGTCGCACCAGTAAAACGCCGTGCGCGGCGTAGAAAGAGGAGACAACGGTATACGGGAGGGGTATCGAATCTCGCCGCACAGGTGATTCCAAAACTAAGCCCAGAAACCTTGGAGCCTAAACGAATAGTTCTGATCAAAGCATTGAAAAGTCGTGCATAAGAGTTTGGCAAATATTGTGGCAAGTGTGAAGATGGAAAAACGCATGACAATCATAAGGCCCTCTTTTTGAGCTGCAGCTGTTGCATTCGAGGCTTGCTTAAAAAAGCATTGACCGTTTCCTGATTGATGACACGCACGACTGTCGGCTCCACGGCGCTGACTTTACTAAGCGACTTGTGCGTGGCATATTCACTTACACCATATCATCAGTTTCACGGAGGTTAGTCCCAGTAGGACAGGGCCACAGACTTATTTCATCGAGGGGCTAGGAAGTTCATTGGAACAGACGGATAGCCTCACCAGTCGAATGTGGAACTCTTCAGAAGCGGAGGAGCCCGAGCACAAGCGCGCGTGCAGCCCTCTTACTGTGACCAAGCACGTGCACGCCAACGCGCGTGCATTCGGACTTACTGCACGGTCCGGGCTCACACCGGCTCGCCGAGGCAGCTGTCGGGGGAGTCCGGCCGGGAACACGGCTGGATGCTGACAGATACCGAGGGCCGATGTTGGGTGTCGTAGCCCGCCGACAGCAGTCCATGCTGCACGCCATGATCCACCGACGGCCGATGCTGCATGTCGGCGCTGATTGACGGCCTGTGCAAGCTATAGCTGATTGACGGCCGGTGCGTGCTGTAGCTGATTGACGGCCGGTGCGTGCTGCAGCCGATTGACGGCCTGTGCCAGCCGTAAGGCGTGGCGTTCAGTGACGTCATTGTGCCCATCTGAAATGGACAGCGGTGAGAGGGGAGATGCAGCAACTGATCGCGTTTGACGGGTGTTGTGTGTTGTCTGGGAAACCAGAGGTACGGGGTTTGATTCCTTGCGGTGCCCGTCCTTCCTGACAGGGTGAGAGGCAGACGACGCCATGTAGCATCAGCAGCTGGGTGCGTCGCAAAACCCCAATGACAACGGCAACAATGGGTGTTAGGCACAATATCTCGCGTTCAGGACTACTGTGCTGATCGCCTCAATACCCATCCAGTCATATATCTCAAATATATTCCGTAGTTCAGGAGCCTGCCACGACCTTGTTTTCTGACTTTCCGACACCTCAGCGGAACCGAAGCAATCAAAAGTCGTTTGAGCCACGGGTTTGCCATCGCCTGGTCGCCTGGAGACCACGGGCAGGTGTGAGTGGCAACTCGCTGGGTGCTCGCGCCGGGGTCACCTCAAGCTTTTTTACGTGAAACACACCACATACTCTACAATCTGCCGACTGGTGGGCATATCGGAAACAGAAACACGCTGCCAGAACCTAGCACAGAAAGAGCAGTGCACCAATGCAGTGCAATACTAGACCCACTCCGCCACGAACAGTAAACCGGAAAGCCGGCTGCCCTTCGCGCCGTCACATCTATCCCAAAACAGCCACCCTCTCTTTCAGGCGAGATAGAGCACACGCTCCGTGCAGATGCCGCGCGACCAAGGCGTGGAGCGGGCAGCGGTCCGGGTCAAGGGAAGCACCGTCGGGCCGATGGCATGCCAGCAGAGACATGCTCACGGTCACACGCGACCGACGTGATCAAGTGTCCACGTCTGGAGGACATGACTCAGACAGTGCCAGGTACTCGGCGGCGAGGCGGACTAGGAACTGCAGAACTGGGACGGTGGTCAGAAAAACCGTCGGTGCACGGCAAAGAAAGCACACGGCCGGCACCCGCACGCACAGTGCGTGGCGGAGAGAAGATTGAACGGCCGACAGCGGCCAAGCGCAGTCAGACGAGGTGTGTGTGTGTGCGCACGCGCGCGCGTGAGGACAGACATGCTTGCCTCCCACCGCGAGCCATCTCGGTAAGGAGAGATGCATCCATCTGCGGCACACAAGAGGCGTGCTCTGTGGAAAGACCACGGTGCCGTGAAGGGTACAAGTCCCGCCAGTCACAGAGAGACGTGCTGTGGATAGACGGGTAGCCACAGAGAGACGTGCTGTAGGGAGACGGGGCAGCTACAGAAAGACGTGCTGTGGGGCGATAGGCAGCCACAGAAAGACGTGCTGTAGGGAGACGGGGCAGCCACAGAAAGACGTGCTGTGGAGACGGACAGCCACAGAGAGACGTGCTGTGGAGAGACGGGGCCGGCATCAGGCGACCCCAGCGTGCTGCGAGGAGACACACCGCACTGCGAGCTGATCGTCCGTCGGCGCTTCACAGCGGCAGGAGCGCGCTGGGAGCGAGCGACTGACGCTCCCAGTCGCTCACGGACGGCCGGGTCGTGTTCAGGGACGACGCGCGCTCCGTGAGCTGCCGCAGCGAAGGTCACCGTCAGCCACGCCGCACGAGGCGCGCCGGATTTGTCAACGTCGCGCTCACGCTCGCCGCACTGTTCACCGGCACACGGGCCGTGCGCTGGCCACAGGTCCCCCAGCACAGTAGTGTACACCAGCAAGACAACACGCAACGGCGCGTGATCGTGACAACATTCGGACAGATGCCATGCCAGTCGGATAAATCGAGAGGCATTGAGGTGTATTAAACTGGCTTATAAACGTGATGTCTTTTAGGGGAATAATGGCGGCGGAGGGTACATTCCATGAGTATCCCACAGCTACATTTCTGTGCATTCGAAAAAATAATCTTGCTTACCACTAAATTGTCAAGGAACACAAACCACGTACAACATAGTTCATAACTTAAAACGGGCAGCTGCAGATAGTAACCCTACTTCCAACGTTTGATAAATGCTTGTAACAACTATATAAAGGGCCAATAAAGCAATGCAAAACTAAGAACTATGGCAAGGCGTCCAGGCACCCTCAAAACTTAGTCCTTCCGTCCACCGGATACGCCCAAAATGTAGTTTAATTAATGTTATATCATGCTTGCACCTACACTTGCCTCACCATTACAAAGCACGGGTCTGTCTTAGCCGTGTGACGAACCGAGCGGAGCCTGACTTCCGACGTCCTCGGGCTCAACAGCCAACGCCCAAACCAGAGCCGATCTATTAAAGCCAGCCCTCCCACACCACTGGCCCACCAGCCGCTGCGCACCGGGACCCAGTTCGCGCTCAATGCTCGGGCCGCAGGCGGACTCAGCCTGCTGGGATCCTAACCTTCAGATGGGCGATGTCCTCCAGCTTGGAGACCTCGGCCAGCTCGTTGAAGAAGGACCAGACGACCAGCCAGCCGTACACGTTGAGCAGCACCATGACCGCCCAGAGGAAGCACATGACGCCGTGGTAGGAGAAGTACATGTCGTTGACGATGGAGGAGAACACGAAGGCGAACGTCCGCCAAATGGTGTGGAAGATCATGAAGAGCAGCCATGGTCGGATCCTACGCTCGTCTTCCTGTTGACGGCAGTAAGTAAAGAAAAAGTTAGCTCCGAGCAGCATTGCAACCCAACGCAAACAGTTCACAAAGGTTTGAGGGTTTGGACCTAGCGAAAAGGTGGCATAGCCATATTTTTAACAAAATGAACAGAATTTATCATTAAAAAATCACGTTTCGATTCCCAACAAGCCCTCAAAGATATCGATTGCTGAAAGTTTTGTCCTCCGCTGTATCCCTTTGGACCTACCATAATGAAAGTGTCAACACCAACCGACCGTACTTTTGCCTCCCACAGGCTCCACGCTCGGGCCAAAACTTCGGAGCAACTGCAGCAGAGCTTTGCAGTGTAAAACTGATGATATACAGCCTCAGAGGGCCATGCTACTTGTTCTATGTTGAGTTTTGCACAGAACATTTCCACGCCCAGTGGATATTCCCCTGGAGACTAACTTCACATAACCCCTACTCGGATATCGCGACTCGCTCTGCATTCGCGGATTAGTGCAGGATCGAACACAGCCCATCACTAACAGTAGTCCCTCATATGATACACCTCCCCACCGCTGCCACAGCTGACCGCAGGCCGTCACCTACACCACCCCACTCCGACGACCCCAGCGACGCCGCGGGGCGCCGCCGTCGTCTGGGACGCACCGTCTTCAGGGCGCGCAGCAGGATGGCACTGACCACGAGAAGCACGATCCCGGAGACGGCGCTCACCAGCGCCAGCACCATCAGACAGCGCCGCACTGCGGGCGACATGGCCGCCGACCCACTCAGCGGCCACCCAGCGCAACGGCGGCCCACTCAGCGGCCACCCAGCGCAACGGCGGAGGCGCACACCACAGAGGCGTCGCATACATGGGAGCATAACTCTTAATCGCCGAAACTGCATGCACTGACGCAATTCCTGACACACTGTTTCCAGCAAAATAACAGGACATAACAAACCATGAATGACATGAATAATGTTGGGAGAATAATGTTCTGGCGTCGCAGCCAGGTCTACCTCCTGCCCACAGGGCCACCCACCATGGGCATTGCCGACGTAAACGAACTCAAACGAGATGATGTAGTAGCCGTAATGATTCTTGCCAGGCTCCGCCTCCGCCAGCACGTAAACGTCGAACGTGCCGGTAACGATGGTGAAGAGTGCCTGCAGCTGAGGAGCCAAAGGAGGGACTGAGGCCGAAAGCGGTCAGTCACGGCGAGCGTTCACCCGAGGTATCAGTCATGACAAGGTCACTCACAAGTATGTTAACTCCTGCGTGATGATGGTGGACAGTTTTCATACTGAAAGAATCCACGATTCGCGACGGGAATGATTAGACCCACCAGCTTCCCAGAAATATAAAATAAGGAGATGTGGAAAGGATGGACAGGGCGGAGAGGACGCTAAGAGGAACACCTCTGTTTCGCCTACATTTGGCAAATCCCATAGAAGCAACTGCCAAAAATCCTGTGTGGACACATAATACTGGACTGTATTAAAGGGCAAGTGAAACACAAACACACTAAACCTTCCACCCAGAAGGCATTGCACAGGCGGACGCCTCACCCAGTCAGCTACCGACACCACCCTCTCTGAAGCCGAGCGTTGCGGACAAAGGAGCTACGATGGGTCCTCCGCCCGGCGCTGCCCGCCCTGTGCCCCACTCACGATGGCGTATACGGCTGTGATGTGTGAGGCACGCGGGATAGAAGTGCCCAGCGCGCCGGCCAGCACCGGCGGCCGCCACTCATCGGCCGGCTGCGAGAATCCCGCGTGCGAGCGTGCCACCGCCGAGCGCACCGAGTGTACCGAACCCACCGAGTACAGCGACAAACCGCGCGATGCCACCGACGCGCGCGACGCGTGCGAGGCGCGCGACGGCGGCCGCGGCACCTGCAGCAACGCCATCTGTTGGAGGAAACAGTAACTGGTGGTGTATACTGCTGACACCAATGGAATGACTAAGGTTTTGGAAAGCACAAAGCATTCCCCTCAGTCAGGTGGCATAACACTTTTGGAGAGTGTAGGTCACTTGAAGAAACATAAAGCAAATGATCTAGGTTTGATGGATGTTATAGGATTTGTTTGGTACAAAGCCACCCACTTGATAAAAATATGCTTCAAACAGAGCCAAAAAAAGAAAGAGATCATTCTGCCACTTTTGTGGCTGTAATAAAAACCTTCAAATTCAAGAAATCATCACTCAAACACCAGAATACCTGTTGTTTAATACCAGCATACAAATTTAAAAGGACTGCTAGCAGTTAACACATGGAGCTTGATCATTAACATCACGCCATAGGTAGTGCTACTAAGAAACTGTCCAGGTAACCTTGTCCAGTTATCATGCTTGAGACAAAGAAATAACATGAAGCTGGAAACACACAACTTGGTATTGCCTGGAACCTGGGTTCTCAGACCACATCAAGCCTATGTCTAGTGCCTCCTTAAACTGGGTGGCAGGCTTAACCCTTTGAAATAACATTTTCTAATAGCAAACAAAAAACAAATACACACAGAGCCATTATCCTGCACGCAAAGTGTGTCAGCTTTTTGTTTTCTAAAAACAAACAAAAAATGAGCACACACAGAGCAATTCCCCTGCAACCATAGCATGACAGCTTCTTATGGGCAAACAATATGAATGCAGAAACACTGCTTGTTATAGATTGCAAGCACACCCACAGGAGGCATGTTCAAATTCAGTCTTCTAGGAAGCATATAATCAAAGTAACAAAGTTTTTCAGTGTGCCACTAAAACTACACCCTAATCAGTTTAACCAGTATGCTCAGTGTGCACAGAGTCACTACTTAATGACTGCAAAAAAGCAAGTGATCATATCACCAGACTGGACTGACTTGATTATGGCTTTATCATTTGTCAACTGACTTGAAAGAAACACTATTTGACCAGTTTCCAGGTTATTCTTCATAGTCACCATCAACAGTGGTCATTTTTTTTAGCATATTTGATCACTGAAGAATGAGATTTGGAATATATCCAACAACCATCAATATTTTAAAATGCAATTACATCAAAGGCAGCATATTGAGTCTTAGCACATCAATGTTTGAACAATTTAGGCACGCTCCTCTCATTTTTGACAATCTAGCCATCATTGATACCACATTTTTTCACACGAGGTAGTTCACTTACAAGGCCTGATATCTATGTCTAGGCATAAAGATGTAAAAACATAAAAATTATTTCCTAAAATGCGTGCACTTGGACCTCATACATGTTCCATTCTTCGAGGGGAACGGACACGCTCATGAACGTTCAACATCAGTGCTGGAAAATCACTTAGCAGTCACGATCAGACTAAACGTGACTAATGAGACTACATCCTACCACTTGACTCGGGCATTTTAACGGAAAAAGCTTTTCTATAGCGACGCTTACCTATCCCGCAACTTGAGGTTCACAGATCGGGAGATTCAAGACTCATGCCCGCCAATTCACGATACAAAAAACTGGGCGTTACTCGTCTTTACTGCGTCTTTGCTGGCTCCAAGGTCGCCAATATACTATGCCACTAATTTCGTATTTTTTTCCTTCCTGGCGATGATAAACACAGTTACACTTGCCGCTGTCCGGCGTAAAATAAAGGGGCATCATTTTGGTATCTTGTGTGTGTGTGTCCTATATGTTCTTATTAGGTTTCGCAATATGCAGTTCATTTTTGAACCGGAGGCGGTGTTCGGATGAAGGCATCAGGATGAAAATAGGCATTCCAGACTCGGTTATCGTTGCATGTTATGAGTTCGTTGGGCTTATCAGATTCTATATCATTGTTGAGACAAATTTCACTTGATAACTTAGTTTTTTCTCAGCGTTCAGGATGCGTTACTCAGTTGACTGCTGACATCAATCAAAACATTTAAGCGTAAAAGCGGCCCTGCTGTGCGAATTGTAAGCTCTGAATTTACTTTCCGCCACTAGATGTCCATGTCTGAGGACAAACATCTTGAGTGCGCATCGCGCGGATCATGAGAACGAAGACAGGTAGTGTGGATTCCGTGGCATAAAAAGGACGTTCGGAGTAGCTTTGGCCCTGGGGCGCTTTGTAATAATGAATAGCTTCAAAAAGGCTCGAAACTTTCGGGCTATAGCCCGACGATGGGAATCTTACGTTAAGGCATTCGAGGGTAGAATTTCCTATCCTCGATCCACACACTACCCATGAGGCTGTGTATTCATGCCAAGCCCGCTATTCATCCCTTATCAGCCGTACCCACTTGCTACCCTCCTGCTTTCATTTTCCAGAACAGGACCCGTTCCGATGTACGCAATTTGCTCGAAATATGTGCTAACCCAGGCCGTCGCCCGTTCAGTGTGGATACTCATGGGTTTACCCAGCTGTGAAGCTCCCAAACTTATCCGTCTTTGGCAGAGTTAAGTATTTTTTGGCAAGGCGTCGTCCATTATCGGCCCAGATTTCCTCATTATCGCTCCTCCCTGCATCCCCGCAACGCCCCGTTTGTATAGACAAGCTACATGCGCCAGCCATGAGTGGGCTTAAATACCCCCTAGTGGGGTTCCCGCCCAAGTGCCGAGCACGAACCCTATACAGGTGTTCCTATTAGGTCCCGTTGGAGGGCCACCAGGTGTATGTAGCTCTGTCCCACCAGTATCCATTGTCCTTCATTTCATATCCATGAAATAATCATTACTGGCTGAAATGCCTCCAACACAAACCAAATCAGAGGACTCGTCGATACAACTTCGTTCAGCATTTCTCACCGTTTTCTAACCCTCTTCCCCTAGTTACGTACTGGTTACGCTGGGCGGAACCCCTTCTCCCGGTCACACTGAGTTAAAAGCGTAGAGTCCTGAAAAGGTGACGTCTGCGTGCTCCTAATTTAGCTAGAGGTGCAAAACATAAGCCCACGCGTTGTTTATCATGAGAGGAGCCTGAAGGCCTCCGTTTTCAAGGTTTTGCAAAATTTAGAACCTTGAGGCCGGATGCCGTTGGCTCATGTCGAAACCCTATCCTTAGTTTTAAGACGGTGACTTTAGCATGCTTTGCTACCATGCCAGTGCGCAACGTTCCGCTGTCGGAAAATCAGCCCTCTCTCTCCTTGCTGCAATTTGATTATGCCTTATCAAAGCCTCTCCCCTAGCATTCGTAATATAATTTACAGACGGTTTCCGTGTTAATCTGTACACTAAAAGCCTACGTAACTTGGCAACTGTATGTAGTCGTAAAGGATTTGGCCTCGGGGAGCCCCGGACATATTTGCATGTGACCATTTGGCGGAGCGCACCTGTTAGCTACATGTAGCTACATGTAGCCGTTTGTCCGTCACGCAATTCTCCGTAGCTGGAGTTACGGGGATGAGGTACTGCCGGAAGAGACTCGTTTGCGTCAGGGAAAGTCAAAATGTTTTTACATCGTGTTTTCTGTGGATGGAATTACCTTCGACGGATTTTTCTGGCCATAGTGGAATGCAATGTCTGCTGTTTTCAGCAGCGCCCGTGATCTTACCAATCGCTGAAACTATGATAGGTTCCTATCACCCTGCACAGTTTATAGAACTGTTACGATGATCCGTTGTAAGAAAGGATAGGTTCCTATCACCCTGCACAGTTTATAGAACTGTTACGATGATCCGTTGTAAGAAAGGCATGTCGCAATTTAGGGAAGAATCGAGACGGGGATTAATACTACAGATAAAATAATGGTTTGACTTTAAACTGTCGTTCCCATCTGGTGTGCTAGCATGCAAACAGAGTTTCGACCAGTCAACTCTCCACACGTCGTTATGTGTTATGAAGTCATAAGGACTGGATGATGTTTGGCTTTCAGCGATGTACGAATCACAGTCCGTATTTTCTCCTTGAACGTGTCAGGATTCGAACCAAGGTCTTCTGATTGCAAGTCCAGTGCTCTACCAACCGGGCTGACTGGGAAAGTCGCTCCCGCTCCCGGGAAAGAGGACATCCAAAATCATATTTGGGCAAACCAAAGCTGTAACAATGTAGTTTTGTGATGCGTCGGCAATGTTCCTGCTACATCTTAGTGTCCAGGGACTTATTTGATGGCTTTGCGTATTTCCACGTGTTGAAATGCACGATGCATGATCGACAAATGCGTGTTTCGCGCATGTCTGTTTGAAAAGTAAAAGTTGTTTTCGTGGAGACCACGCCCGGGTTTTATCGAGATCTGCAGTAACCCCCTTTTGAGCATTTTGTTCTGTTTTTGATGCCAAATTTTAAAACCAAGTCAGCGGTGCAACGAGTCCCTCCCCTTTTAGGTGTAGACGTAGGAACACCTTAGAAGGTGTGTGTGGGGAGGGGTGGAGGGGAGGGCAATGCCGCCTTGCAAGCCGATTCTTCCGCGTATCGCCATAGGACTCATGTTAAACAATCTCAAAAAAGGCGGAGGGGGGAAGCTATGGCTCTCCTCGCCCGACCCCATTCCTACGCTTGTGCTTTTAGGAAGGCTCAAAACGGTTGCACGCTTAAGATGATATGCTGGTACGCTGAAATATTTTGCCCCCCGAATAGCGATATTTTTTAATTCCATCTGCCAATATGCTCCAAGAATATCATCAACAAAACCATATCATCCGGAGCAACGTAGTCGGTATAACAAGGGTAAACAAGCGTGGAATTTACATGTCGTGACCCACGATCAACATCTTTCAACATTGTTACTGTCTTCTGACACACAAAAACAGTACATTTACATACTCCGTACAGTAAAAAACAGTACATACTCCGATCAAATTAGAAATTCGCCAATCGACGTGCCGTTATCGTTCTACCACATACAACAAGCATGGGACGTATGGGATATGAATGTGCCATGAAAATATAATGCGTCTGTCACGATAGCTCAGTTGGTTAGAGCGTCTGCTTTCCAAAACACCCACCCGAAGCGGATTGGGTTCGAGTCGCTTTAGGCGCTCGCTATTTGCCCTCGAGCGATATGACCTGTGGCTGATGGCAGCACCCGCGCTGAAGCTCACGTGACGTTAGAGCTCAGGACGGACAGGACAGGACCAGGGCAGGATCGTGCCGAGCATTGCGGCACGCTAAACATTCGCTACCAAAGCCCGTCGTTAACCTGGAATTGCACGATCGTATGGCAAGGGCTAGTCAGGGATCGCGCAACAACACTGCTTAGCGTGAGCTCTGGTTCCAGAATAGCACCCATCTGAAGAAGTTCGGATCGTATCTTTAAAAAACTCATGACCACAAGTCAAAAAGGTCAAAAGTTGTCCAACGGTGGCAACAGTTTTGTTAAGTGTCAGCAGCCAGGGTGTCCAGGGTGCCAGGGCCTATCCATAACTCCCCGAGGGCCCTTGTCCCCGTGGATCGTGACAATGATCAATCTGTTTTACGTACGTGTTTGCCGTCGGTAAATCGACCACCCCGCGTCAAATAATGCACTTTATTGGCAATGCCAGCACAGACCAAGGGTTTTTGAGTGTTAGCATTAAAAAAACATTTCAGCATTTTTTACCTTTTTTATTTAGTCCATGTCCAAAAATACTTAAAAATGGTTTGGACAAGCTCTATCTGTCTAAAGACCTCGGTTTTAACTAAATTCATGTAGGTCAGGTGGTAAGATTGAATTTGAGGATGTGTGTGGAACCTGAAGTAGGCCAGCCACGATGGGCCCTTGTGGTTAGTTGTTGGCTGGATGTCTTTGTGTAGTCATGTCTTGATGTCTTAATGGCTTTATTAAGGTCACCGTATCATCATGCAAAGCATCGCCATGGCTATACTAGCATTAAGGCG